ACCCACACAAAGATTTGCATTTGAATTTTTGAAATAAAATAACCAGCCTTTACAGACCTCAGAAGTCTTGAGAACCCCAGCTTCGAAAAAACTGCTAGTCTTAAACAGCTTTCCAGAATATATGAGTTAATGCCTCCTCCTGTTATGAGCAACCATATTGTTTGACTTCATTAACAAGTCTGCTTAAAATAATCATTCCTGTTTCTAGGGAGAAAAACTACAAGGCCCAGATTCCAGAGATAAGTGCTGGATTTAACTGTGTACCTTTGACCGTATCTCCCTGTTCATCCTTTCATCAGCTATAAAAGGTTCACATTGTGTGTGCTAAATCTAAGATTTTGACTGTAGCTTTGAGATTCTTGAATCAGATCTCTTGTTCCTTTTTTTTTCTTTCCTTGTTTCCCCATCCTCTAGCCTCCTTTAAATACTGAGCTTCGAAAGGGCTCTTACATAGTTTATTTTTCTGATAAAAAGCAAACCTTTTCAGGAATGACATGTGTTATATCAGAAGCGTTCCTTTCGTTTTCATTTATTTAGTGAATGGCTTTTTACAGCAGAATCGTACTCACTGGGTATCTTAAAGCTTGGTTCAGCGTGCTTATGCAGCTTGTCAAAAAATGGTTCTGTTAAAGTCTGTTTGGATCTTTGGGTGTGTGGTTTGCTTAAAGTGCACTGCACTAGTAAGTTTGCAGCTCGTTTCTTCATGCTTTCTTCAAAAACATCAAAAGTTGTAAAAGGTTTATTTCAGTGCATGTGGTAGTGTTTTGTGTGTGGTTCTTTGTTCCTGTTCTAAACTGTTATTAACACTGAAGTGAACCTTCTCCCGGGTTTGGCCTTTTGGTATTCACAGTGTATTCAAAACCTAATTACAGATTAGTCTAGATTTGAGACTTTTAGAGTAAGTATCAGGAGACTGAATAAGAAAATGAGAGTAGCAGTATCATTTCACGTGGAGATAAAGAGACCCAAAACATGAATGGGTATCAGGTCATCTGAAGAAAAGAAAAAAGAGAAGGAGCCTCATTCACTGAGACAGACGGTTTATGAGTTGGGGATTATGGGAATATTCATGACTCAATCAAGACACACAGTGAATTGATGTCTGAAATAGCTCATCTTTTAAGTAAACATTGGCTAAATGGAAAGTAGACTCAATATTCGCTATATGTAGAATTAGCTGTTTCTGTACCAGAGAAATAGCAGTTTGCTAAGCCCTTAATTTATCAAGGAAGTCACATATTTTATAAGAATTTTCTAGTTACGAATACTTAACTGGGATACTTAATAGAAAAGGGAGTTCGCCATGCTGTTTTGTACACATTGCTGTGAGGTGGCAATTTCTAATGATGGAATAGTTAAACACAATGAGATTTAAGAATTTGAAGACATTAAAATACTGGGTTATAATTTGGGAAGGATCAGAGAGGAGGAAGTTCCAGTTGCTAACATTCAACCTCACTTTTTGCGGGTAACTCAGTTTCATCGCAGCCAGATGGCATAGTTAATGTACAAGACAGTCCTAGAAACTCGTGTCCGAATTTAAAATGAATGAATTCAAGAATGGGAAATAATGCTGATTATTTATAATGTATCTTCCGAGCAGAGCATGAAATCAGCGTATTATTTCTAAAGCTACACACAGGTATGTGTACACAGTGTATTTCAGCCTTGATTAGAAGGTGCAGCAATTCAGTTGAAGTTTCTTTTTTCCACTGGTATAGCATTGTGAGACCTGTGCATTCTCTCCTGCTTCTCTGGTTCCGGTGTGACCCACCAGCTTTCCTGAGCTTCCATTGTGTCAGTGTCCCCTGTTCCCCCCTCTTGGGGACCTGCCTCTGCCTTCTTGGTCACTGGTATATTAGGTTGTCAGAAAAGTTAAGACACATTTTTACGTAGAAAAACAGAAAAAATACACCATGAATCTCTGAAAACCGAGGAATATCTATGAAAAATGAAAAACTTGCCAAGTAGTTTTGTTTTTGTTTTTGTTTTGGTTTTGGTTTTTTTTTGGAGAGGTTTTCACTATAGGGCACGTGCGCTCGCCAGACAGACAGAGAGAGACAGAGACAGAAAGCAAGAAATCACCCCCCGGGGGGATGGTCATGCCGCAATCCCTTCTCCTCCATTCTCCTCTAGGGATCTTGGGCACGCACGCACACGCGCCCGGCGTGAGTTTTAAGCCACCGGGTCCGGGACACGAACCACGGTCGACTACGTGGGAGTCCAGAGACATAGCCATTACGCTAACTGCTGGTTCCCCCAAGTAGTTTTTTTTGTTTTTTTTTTTCTTCCTGATAACAGGTGGCCTTATTTTCTGTGCCATATTTTGGGAGAAATTTCATTTGTCTTTCATTATTTATTGAGTTTATACAGTGATCCAGACGTTATTCTGGACAATGCAGGTGGTGAACTTTTTTAGTCTAGTATTATACTCCTGTATTGTTCAAGTATTTTTCAAGTATTTCTCACATTGTGTGTAGATTTGTTTATTTGTCCCCTCAAGAGGTAACCACATTCATCACATAGGATAGCTTATTGTACAACTTTTGGTGATTTAGGCACAGCACTGCTGAGAAAGTGTTGGTCACTCTTCTGGTTCCTGGTTTTTACTAACGTGTGTCTTACTTTTAGGTAAAAAATAATACTTAGGACAAAAAGACTTAAAATAATAGCGTTCATTTTGTTTCCATTTAGAGTCAGCATGTGGTAGTAGATCTGTGTTTCTGAATCAGACTAACGTGGACAGGGCTAATAACTCCCCAGGCTCTCTGAGCTCGTCAGCAGTGAGAGCTGCAGGACGGTGTGAGAACAAATGAAGTGTCAGTTACAGGCACCTAGAGCATCGTAGATACTCAGACTTTCTCAAAGCTAGAATAGCATCTGCGTTCTCGTACCACTCCATCAAGTGTGTTGTGTTACGTGAAAGAACAAGTTAGTATTTCGAGTCAGTGTTAAAGGATACATTTGCAATGGTTGCTTATTTTTAACACTTACTTCCGGCCTTCACTTCTTTCACACCTTCCATTCCATTACTTCCTAGTAATTTATTGAAATATTCAATAGTTTTGAAAAACTTAGCTTTTAAGGGAAATCGGCCATTTATTACTGTGGTTTTCATATTAAAGTAAGTTAAATGGTCCTTTTACTTGCATTTAGATTAAAAAAAAAAAGACTGCTTACCTCTTCATGTTAGAATTTCGTTTCTATTTAGACCTTACAGAGTTAGACACCTACATCATAGTGGCTCTTGGTACTTTTTTTGGGGGGGGAGGAATTGTATTTATTATCTTTTTAATTTGCTATAGGTCATGTGGGCTCACTTGAGAGAGAGAGAGAAGGAAAGAGAAAGCAAACTGCTAGGTCCACCATCCGAACTGTGACCAACCGAGTAGGAGTCCAGCACCTTAACTGCCATGCCACCTGCTGGCCCAAGGCTCTTGCTGTACAGTACAAGTAGGTCTTCATCTGGACAGTCTCCTTGAGTGATACCCTGTGCCACACACCTGTTGATGGCCCGTCCAGCTGAGGATGGAGGTCCTTGTTAGGACAAAAGGGTGACACAGGCTGGTCCTGCAGCTGCCCTGTCGTGTATCAAATAGAATTGGATTTCCTCTCAGAATTCAGACAGTAACATTCCCAAATAGAAGTATTTCTTAGTGAAATGTGTAGAGGAACTGCTCAGACGTTTGAGATTTTTAATGTATTTTGATATTTAAGTGAAATGATTTTTTTCCTAAGAACACCATCCATTTCCAAAATTCTGTGCGACAATTTAGAAAATGTTTCCTGCCTTCTCCTTTTTTAAGCATTCTTCGATACTTATATGGAACACTCTACTCATTGAAAAAAATAAGTTAAGTTAATCTACTGAGTGTGGTCTTATTTGAGGAAAGCAAGTATGTGTACTTGTTTGACTACTATTTGAAAAATGGAAGTCATCCTATAAAAAAATACAAACTTAAAACTCAAAAAGGGGGTTGGGATTATTTGTTCTACTTGTCTAGTTTAATTCTATGTATAAGAAGTCAATACTGCTTTATGATAGCTGTCATGTTTTCATAATAGTTTAATTAAAAGGACTTTTTTCTCACAGATTTTATATTAGTCTCAATATAATACCAAGAATCAGAAGTGTTAAATTACTAGATAATGAGGGGGGTGTGTTATTTCATGCAACCGTAGTAGACTTCGTTGAGTTCCTGTAGTATTAGTAAGAATTCATAAAAACAACAGTTCTTCCTTTTATTGGTATGCATCACTAATGCTGCCTCACTGATAAAAGGGGATATTTATATTGTCAACTTCAGAATTACTTTTAAATGTAAAAAATGCAAATGTTGAATATTAAAGTCATTTTATGTGATTTTCCTATGGATAGGACGTATAATGCTTGCCAGTTTTGCACCTGTATGACCAGTACACCCTTGAACCAGTCAACTCACTATAATTGATAATTCCCACTAATTTATTAAAAGAAAAGTTTGTTATACTTTTAAAATAGTAGGTACATAATTAAGTCAGCAATGAAGTAATATAAGTCTTTGCCACTTTTAATAGGAGATTGGTGTGTACTTAGAATAATTAACATTCGTGGAGGACATCTACATTTCAGAGAGAAATTATATCTTTTACTTGGACATCTATACATGTGCAAGTCTAAAATCAAATCATCTAAATCAAATCAGCCTTTAGTGGTTTGGGTGTTTTTAAACTTTACTTTTCCCATTCATTGTTGGAAAAGTACTTATTTGTATGTATTTTTAAAGTATTACTGAGCCAACAGGTGTTGTGGTTAAGGTAGCCGGATCTAATGTGGCCGACTGTGTGGTTTGAGTTACGGACTTGGAAAACATGCCAGGCCAGTATGCGTGCATGCTCAAAATCCTGAGAAGAGAATGGAGAAGGGATTGGGGTGTGGCCATCCCCAGGAAAGTGCTTTCTCACTTTTTCTATCTCTCTCTCTCTCTCCAGTGAACACACATACCCTATAGCAAAACTATGCACACACTCACACACACGCACACACATATATAATACACACACACACATATAATTGCCCTGTTTGTTGCAAGTATTTCCCAGTCTCCTTTGTCCTCTAATTTTATGGCAGTTTGACATAAATAAAAGTATGTTTTACAATGACTATGTCCGTTGATCTTTTCCTTTGTAATTTTACTCTCCTGTTATTTTTTCCTTTAAAAGTCATTTCTCAGTCTAAGCTCAGTTAAATACCTACCTGTATTTTCTTTTAATTTTTAGGATTGCTCGATTGCTTAATATTTTACTCTGATCCAGACATTGCTAACTTTGAGTCTTTAGTTGTGCTTCAGAGAATTGGGGGTCCCTCAGAACTCCGTATGTAACTGTGCAGGTACTATACACAGCACTTCCTGTGTAAGAGAACACATCAAAGAGGTCTGTCACACACCTCTCTCCCCTTCTGCATTCCCAGCACCTGGCCAGGAATTACCTTTGCAATCCATCCGGCCTTTATTTGCAATGAGGCTGTATGGAGAGGCTCTAATTTTTTTTCCCCTTTTCCCTAAATAGTTGAAGGAGTATGGTGTACCAGACCATTCAGTGAGTAATTATGTCCTATGGTCTGTGATGCCTTGGAGAATTTCATTTCTTTTCATTTTACTAATTTATTATTTTTTTTAATCTCTTCAGAGAAAGTTAGAGAAATTCAAGAAAAACTTGATGCTTTTATTGAAGCTCTGCATCAGGAGAAATAGTGTTACTAGGTGAGTAAAATTATCTTACGTTCATTGAAACTGAATGCAAAATTTAATTTTAAACTTCAGATTTTTTTTTTTTTTTTTGAGAGAATTTCACTATTCGTCGCCTGTTCTTGTCAGAAAGAAAAAGAGAGACATA